TTTAAATTATTCGTTCTATGATGTTACAGTTAAGTAGTTTGAAGTTTCTGCAATTTTGAAAGAGAATAATAATTTAAAAAAAGATTATTTCCGAACATTTACACACCGCGATAATACCGTTGCTTATGTAAACTACTTTATTTAGGAGGTTGGAAAGAAACACAACGAAATCCCAACCCGGAAAAATGCAACAAGTAAAAGATTTTACTGTAATGTTCCAACTCATTAACTTAGGAATATACAACTATAAAAACGTTATTATATATATATATATATATATATATATATATATACAATAGAGCTTAAATATTTTAGATTTTATTTCGCTCCAAGTAAAGATATGTGACAATGGTCGATAAAGAAAAAGGATTTCACGGAAGAATGTCAACTATGAGTAGCGTCATATTATCAGATAGTATGTAACAGCTTGTTATACGATTATAACTAGCAATCTGTTGATCCGTATAACCAATATATTTTAAACCTAAAGTACTTGACTTTTCAAAAACTAGAATATGCAAAATACCAAGTAAACTGAATGTCAACGTACATATATTTTTCACAATCCTCATCTGTGATTGTTATATCCTCTACAAATTCTCCGTTCAGTTGTATATCCTTGTTTTCTGATATAATAGTATCCACAAGAAATTGAGACTTTCTGTTTGAATTGCTTGTGTCAACATCGGTAACACTGTTTCTTTTTTTATCGATTGATCTCATGATAACATTGTAACGTGCATAAAAACTTGAGTCAGAATCTGGAGAGCTCACTAGATGTACATAAGGTTATTGGACATAAAATACGAGGTAAAATACCTTCTGCAGTATTTGTTTCTTCATCAGAAGAATCTTCTCTTATTTCTCCTTCTTCAAGGTCTCCCGAAACGGGAGTATTAGAAGCGGAGTGCTCACAAGTACGCGGAGGCTTTATAGAAAGGTAATTATAAAAAGTTAATAAAGATTTGAATTCTTACCGAATTTTGACACTTCTCTTTTAAAAGACGTGCTTCATTGTGTTCTTGAATAAGACGTATAATTTCGCTTTGCAGATCAAGATCTAGTAAAATTAACTCTATCTGAAATCAAGGCTTACCTGCTACAGAATGTTCTTTGATAATAAGACGTTTCCTTCCTTCAAAATCTTCTATCTTACGAGCATAAACCTCCAGTCGACAAGCTTGAAGTGATTTATCACTATAATCCCGGTCAATAATTCTGAACAGAGGTAAGTAATATGTGTTCTAGAAAACTTTTAATATACTGATTTGATTAACTTACAAGATATGTTTTCCGATGGATAATACTACACAGGTGATTTATCACTGACTTTTTTGGTAACCACTGATTGCAGAGACTACAAATATACAGACATTCATCCAGTTCCCGTAACTGATACTCGATCATATAATTGAGTCCTATTAGAGGTTGAGTACACACATCAAGAAATGGTTGTATCTTGGCAGTAACTTTTACTTGAGCCTGACGTTTACCCTTCAACAAAGAACGATCTCCTACAATTATATGACATAAAAAAGGTCATATCTGAACGATCAGAAAAATACGAGTCTTATTTCTAAATGACAATTTTCATCGGTAATGTTAGTCACTCTCAAAGCAAAATGTTACTAAAGTTTCTAGATAGGCAATAAGTATTATTATCAACCCTTAATTTGACCATATTTTTTCCGACGTTACCTCTACATGCCTTATCATATGAAAAATTCGCAGTGGCCACAAACCTGCTCCCCATACAATTGATGCTGGTGTTTTTAAATACACGCAAAAAATACAATACAAATCTTAATGTATAGGGGATCTAAATTAAATGCTACACTTCACTTTCCAGGAAAAGTTAGGAAACCTCTCCTTTACTGCTATACAGCTTGATCGGATAAGTTCGGGTTTAGATGCCTAAAGTTAGTCAGTCATCAACAACGTAGAACTTCGTACTTACGTACATCAGTTCGAGTTGCCATATCACATTAACACAAAGATACAATTGTCAATTCAAATTCCGTAGTGGTAGTGGTAGTAAAAGTATAGGCAGTAATCGGAAAAATTAGGGTCTGAAGATGTTATTCAAGGAGTACAATACAGTGAAATAAATTTTACAAGAGAAAAAAGGGATATGAAGAATTCAGAAGACTAGAATTTAGGAGAACACAAAGAGTGGATGCACCTACGCACATCATTGCAAACGATTTTGAGCCATGTCATTCAAGATCTCTAACCATCGGTTGCTATCGTCTCGTCGATCCCAACCAGGTAGTCTACACCTACCAACATGGCTCAGTCCACTTGTCAGTGATTTCATGGATTTATGCCATGTTTTGGTCTGTTCGCCTGTAGTCTTCTTCCAACTTACTCCTACTCCAACACCTACACTGACGAATAAGGGGTACTATCTTATTATAAAAATAATTATCATAGGCAATTTTGTGACACAATGAATACGAGATTCACACTTATCTAACAGATGGAAATTTTACAACAAACTATACTTCAGTGATAAAAGAAACTTAATTTTAATCATACCTATATGAAATTGACTCCTTTTGCAATATTACTTTACAGGCTAGTAACTAACAGAATCAGAACGATAGTTTATTTGGTACGAAACCATTGTAAGAATGGGTAGGAAACTAAGTAAACACCATACTACCACTAATACATTTTCTATGAGCAAGAGCCTCTATTTGCTGCTAGTAGTAATGGTGCGAAAATGTTTTCCAAAATTCAATTAGTTAGTTAATGTGGTTTCAATCCATGAGGCTGGAAACTAACTCAAAAATGTTTTCCCAAATATTAATTCTGATAGAAACAGACAGAGGTTGGAAGATAATGAAGTTGTAAATGGTTATTGCTTCTTTACTATCTGACTGACTGAAACACACGGTTACAGTATGAAACAGACATAAAAAGTCAGTATTTAAAATTCACAAATGCGTTGCAATTGAATCGCACACAAAACGGGTCTAACATTGATTTTATCGATCCTATACATAGGTACCTTTCTTGTTAGTTTCATAGAATGACAAAATAATTGAGATTATTCGTAATACCAAGAGCTTTGAGAGCTATTACTTTGTTAGTCAACGATAGTTAATTGGGAATGAGATAAAACCAAACCAAGCGATGTAAGAAGCCAGTAACTAGTTACTAAAATAAAACAACTATGTTATAAAAAGATAAGTTAAAACAAATAACTGAAGATTGTAAAAATTTATCTAAGTTCAGATTTTATTCTTGCCTTACCAGTTGACTCAAAAATAAAAACATTTTCTCGATGCCGACGTCCATTAAGATGTGAACCAAGAGCTTTGTGAGATGGGAATTCCACTTCACACAACTAAAGAAATATAAAAGGGATTATTTAAAATATAACATAGAAGACTGAATGAAATTTGGTTTGACTTAGTATGCAGCTTAAAAAAATAGTATTCGTGTATGAGTTGACTAACGGTTAGAAAAACTTACAATATCTGGGATATGTAACGCTACTTTATTATCGATGTTGAAACTACTAGTTTAACACTCAAAATAGTAAAGGAGTGGTAGCTAAATGGTTATAATAACACAGAATTCCATGCATGGGGAATTATACGACCTGAGTTCAGTCGTTAATGTGCTCCGTTAAACCAGTAATTGACCATGTCAAATACACCTTCACTTGTCAAGATTTAGAAAGCCAAATATTATTGTAGCTCAAAAAAGTACAAATCAAAATGTAGCACGAACTCAGCTGTATCTACAGAGATACATTATTATCTGCATGCTGTGCAGCAAACTCCGCCTGTAGCTCCTCTAGAGTTACTGCCGGTTCCAAGCCCACACAAAGGAGGGTTGGGCGTGAAATCGGTTACCCCATCCTGTAGAAAAATCTTGCTAAAAAACGCCAACGAGATTAAAAAAAATAAAATCATTTAAACTCTGTCCTGGGAGTTTAAGAAAGAATTATGAAACTTCACGATGAAAGCTGAGATTCTTCGGAAGTCACGAGGCCGGTGCCTTTTCTAGCAACCATAATAACAATTAATATAGGTACATGGAATGTGGGAGACCGGGGGAACCCGATAAATAGTAACAGAAATGAGGAAATACAACTTGGCAGTACTCAAAATCAGCGGAACCCATGAGACAGCAAAGGTTAGATACGGGAGAGATGCTGTCGCACTCCGGTCACGAAGAGGAAAATGCTCCACACATTCAAGAGGTGCTCTGATGCTGTCCAAAGAAGCACGAAATGCACCTATAGAATGGGAATCTTCTGGATGAAGGGTCATCGAAGCATCCTTCAAAACAAAGAGAGAGGGAATCACAATGAATGTTATATAGTGTTATACACCCACCAATTATAGCAACGACGACAATCACGATCAGTTCTATGAGATGCTACAATCAATCATAGCGAAGTGCCCAAAAAAGGATCTCACCATCATGATGGGAGACCTAAACGCCAAAGTCGGGATGTAAAACACCGTGTATGAAGATATCATGGAACAACATGGACTGAGAGAGATTTACAAAACTTAAGTGCATTCAACAACTTAGTTAAAGGTGGTACAATATTGCCAGACAAAGCTACATGTTTATTTATTTATTTATTTATTTTAACACATAGATATTGATACAAGGAGGCACCAAATACATATACGCCACACAAATCTCATTTGATTTGTGTGAGTACTGTGATATTGCCCGTGTGCCCAAATCGAAGCAGGTGTTTTTTAGAAGGCCACACCCGGGGCCTTCGACCTAAAGGTTTGATCTAAAAGGCGGTGGAGCATCGTAAAAAGATGCAGTCCCACGGTGGTCGGTGACCAACGATTGGTTCGTATACCATTTGTTCCATCAGGATCCTGGAGCCCATGTGAACCATCGGTTTGGAATCAGGGTCTCCCAACTCCCCACCGGTGAACTCTCTGTGTCCACCAACCCGGTTAGAGCGCCGGACATTCCCTTTTCGTCCTCTCAATTTCGTAAACAACACCCACGCCACGAGAAGGCAATGAGTGGTACTTCCCTGGAAGGGGCCATATACGTGTGGCCATGTGAGGGCATTTCGAGAGGGACAGTGGACTCTCCCCACTCTCGGTCGTACCAGGGCATTTGGAACTAAAACTTCAAATATTGTGCTACATGGATCTCACCAGACCACACCACGGAGAATCAAATACCTATTTGTATCAACAAAAAATTCCGAAGGACATTGGAAGACTTGAGAACATGGAGAGGAGCTGACATAGCTTCGGATCACCACCTGGTCGTTGACAAGATGAAAATGAAGCTAAAAAATGTAATGGAAAAGCGAAGAAACAACATCGTTCAGTACATCCTTCCTTCGACATATTGACAAACTCAACGAATTCGAATTAGCTCTCAACAAAGGGTTCCAAGCCTTACATAATATATTCAAACAAGAAAAAAATACTATGGAGGACAATTGGAAAAGGATTAAAGAAGCACTAGCTTCAACGTATCAGGAGGTTCTGTGACGCATCAGACATCATCATAAGGAATGGATCTCTATAGAAACCTTAGACAAGATTCGAGAAAGGAAGAACGAAACGGCAATTAACAATAGCTGAACAAGAGCAGAGAAAGCCAAGGAACAAACTGTATACACAGAAGCAATTGAAGAGGAGCATTAGACCCGACAAGCAGAAATATGTGAAAGACCTAGCAACAACAGCGGAAAAGGCTGGAAAAGAAGGAAGTATGAGACAGCTATATGACACGACGAAGAAACTGGCAAGGAAGTATAGTAAGCCAGAGAGACCAGTCAAAGACAAGTAAGGCAAGACAATTACTAAGACTCAAGGAAAGAGGAACAGACGGGTAGAGCACTTTGAGGAACTCTTGAATAGGCCAGCCTCACTGCACCCAACGGGTATTGAAGAAGCATCCACAGATCTTCCTATGAACGTCACTCCACCAGCGAAGGAAGAAATCGGGATGACCATCAGACGAATAAAGAGCGAGAAAGCAGCAGAACCTGACGACATACCAGCTGAAACACTAAAGTCAGACAAAAGTAACTGCAAGCATGCTTCATGTTCTACTCAGAAAGATTTGGAAGGAAGAACAAGTGCCGATCGACTGGAAAGAAAGACCCCTTATCAAGATTTCAAAGAAATGAATCTGAGCAAATGTGAGAACTACAAAGTCATCACACAACCATCTGTACCAGAAAAAGTTTTGAACAGTGTTGTTGAATGGCAAATAATATTCAGTAGATGCACAGTTTCGAGATCAACGAGCTAGACTTCGTAAGGATCGGTCATGCATAGACCAAATCGCTACATTACTGATTATTGTTGAACAATCAATTGAATGGAACTCGTCACAATACATCAATTTCCTTGATTAGGAGAAAACAAATGACAGTGTGGAAAGGAAAACCTTATGGAAACTTCTTCGACACTATAGAGTATCTGAGATCGCCAATATCACCCGGAATTCATACGATAGACTACAGTCCAAAGTGGTGTATGCAGGATAGCTGACAGACGCTTTCCAAGTAAGAACCGGTGTCAGACAAGGCTGTCTACTCTCCCCCTTTCTCCTTCTTCTAATGTTTGGTTGAATTATGAAGACCTCAAGATATGAGGGAAAGCACGGAATACAATGGATAGCTCAGAACCAATTGGACGATTCGGACTTTGCAGATGACCTAACCCTCCTACCTCACACACACGAACAAATGCAGATGAAGACAACTAGTGTAGCAGCAGCCTCTGCATCAGTAAGTCTTAACATACACAAGGGAGAAAGCAAGATCCTCAAATACAACACGAAGAACGCCAACCCAATCACAGTTGATGGAGAAACTCTGGAAGAGATGGAAAGTTTCACTTACCTTGGTAGCATCATTTATGAAAGTGAAGGATCTGATGCAGACGTAAAGGCGAGGATTGGCAAACCAAGGACAGCATTCCCACAATTCAAGAACATGACAACAGTTAAAAGACAAATCGAATGATATCAAACAAAAACTTATGCTCAAACTCTGAAATCATGTCCTCATAACACAACACCAGGTTAAATATCAGTGAAACTGATAACATCGTCTAGACTAAGAACTCTGAAATTAAATTATGCGGTTTTAGAAAACTTGAGAGCCCCTAAATGCCCTGGAATGACCAACGGTAGGGAGAACTCGCTTTCCCTCTCGAAATGCTCACATGGCCAGGCGTATACAACAACTGACAGGAAAGTCCTACCTAATGTCTTCTCGCGGCGGGGATGTTGTTTACGAAATTGAGAGGACGAAAAGCAAATGTTCGGCGTTTTAGCCGGATTGGTGGATATGAAGAGTCCACTTAGGGGAGTTGGAAAACCCTGATTCCAAACCAATAGTGCACATGGGCTCCAGGATCCTGAGGGAACAAATTACATATGAACCTATTGCTGGTCACCATGGGACTGAATCTCTCAACGTTGTTCCACTGCCTTGTCGATTAGACATTCAGGTTAAAGGCTCGGCGAGTTGCCCCCTAAGGAAACCACCTGCTTCGGTTTGGGTACCCGGGTAGTATCCAAGCCCACACACAAATTGATGATAATTGCTGGAAAAATTACTCTTGCTTCAACGCTTATTGAGAAGAATCATATTCACAATCATTTGATAACATGCGCTTTTATTTTTTTCATGCTACGTCACTTGTGTACTCTCCTTTATTCTCGTCTTGCATATTTTAATTTTAAACTTTTACAGAAGCTCGCCTATGGTAGGAACCCTGTTCTATCTAAACGATCTTAAGTCACTGACTGATCGAAAGTTGAATGCTACCACCGAACATGAATACTGAGACAGTCTTTCTGAAACCACGTATGCCAATCAAACTGGCCTCCTTCAATGTCCGCACACTAATGCAGATCGGACAACAGAGAGGGTTGGCTGTCTTTAGTCTTAATATCGATGTCTATTGTCTGAGGCCCGTATTCAAGACTAGTGAAGTACTACAAATTCGCTCTCCACCTGTCGTTTCGGAGAGCTCGTTTCATGTGCATTTGTCTGGGGACCTTGTGGTATTTTGGTCCAGTTTTTCTGGCGTTGGTATGGCGCTAAGCTCTAGAGCCAAGGTAGCACTGATTGGATGGACCCACATTAACAGTCGGTTATGTGCTGTTAGATTAGAAAGGCCTATCAAAGTGCGAAGAAATTGGTGTGAAAAACAATGTCTTTTAGTCATTGCCTATGCTCCGACAGATTGCGGGCCGGATGTGATCAAGTATGAGTCCTACTACCAATTAAGTGTTCGTTTACACAAAGTGCGTTCGAAAGATATTGCGGTACTAGCCGGAGACTTGGATGCTCAGGTTGGGCGTCTAGGCGCAGAAGAGAGTCGTTCAGGTGGTCAATGGGGACCTGTTTGTCGCAGGTCAGGTAACGGTGACCGGCTACTGCAACTTTGTGCAGACTACAACCTGTTGCCGGTTAGCACTAACTTCCGGAACAGTCGCCGCCGATGTGCTACTTGGTGTCCTCCTTCTGCATCTCAAACCTGGACTCAGATTGATCACATCGCGATCAGCTATCGCTGGCGTGTTTGTGTACAAGACTGCCACTCGTTTTGGAATACCTATCTGGGCTCTGATCATGCCCTTGTTTGCACTAATCTTACCTTGCGTTTCAGCAGCTTACAAATTCATCATCCTAAACGGGTATATGTCAGTAAATTGGTTGCAACTAAATATCAAATCGAGCTAGGTTCAATGCTAGCTAACATCCCACCGAAAAGTATAAATGAGCATTCGTTGCAATGGCATGACACCATGAAGATGACGGGTGAAGTCGCTTGCAACTTCGTGAAACGTCCCGCTTGTAAGCACTGGATTTATTCAGCCTCTTTACAACTCATTGAAGCCCGTCGGTCTACTCCGGGTGACCGTGAGTTTGACCGGAATTTATGACTTTTATGTAATGAAATTGGGCAAAGCTTGCGTAAGGATCGAGAAGCCTGGTGGTCAGAGTATGACAATGAGTTGGAGGCAGCAGCTGCATCTGATAACTGTTGGAAGCTCTTTCAACTCATTCGAGTCACTGGCAGCAAGAAGTCTGGTGTGAGTGAAACAATCTGCGAGGATGACAGGATGCCAATCACTAACATACATCGACGTCTTGGACGATGGGCAGTCCAACCGGTCTGCTTCACTGGCAACATCGATCAGACTGTCCTGCCCTCCATGGCCTGTCACGACTGACCCACCTAACGAGGGGGAAGTCTGCAAGAAACTCCAATTCTTGAAGCGCGACAAATCACCAGGCCAGTGTGACTTAACTCCGGCCCTATTTAAAGGTGGTGGTAACTTTCTGTTAAAGGAATTAACTGAGTTGTTTCCAAAAATCTGGCAATTAGAGAGTGTTCTAACATCATGGGATGGGTCGATAGTTATCCCTATCTTTAAAAAGGTGTCACGTGGTTTCTGCAACTATCGAGTGATAAGTCTACTTCCGGTTGCGTCCAAACTATCAGCTTCCGTCATACTTCGTAGATTGTTCAAAATCTGAGAAACATTGACTCGTGGGGAGCAAGTTGTTTTTCGTTATCGTTGAGGATGTATTGATTATATTTTCACCGTCCACCAATGTTAGAACACCGTGACACTCATCACAAACCAACAATCGTAGTATTTGTTGACAGTAGGGCCGCTTTCGATTCGCTGGACAAGACTGTTCTCTGGGACTGTCTACTGAAGAAAGGTGTGCATGAGAAATTTATTAACATACTACAAGCCCTATACGCAAACACCATTCCTCTTTAATTCTGCTATGGATGATCTTCTTGAAACAGCTCTGATGGATGTAGGGTGATGATGGTGTGGATTTGTTGTTCGGAGAAAGACTTCTCGATCTTGAGTATGTAGATAACATCATCTTACTGTGCGATGATACCCAAGTCATTCAATCCGTACTTAATCAATTGGCAATTAGTGTCCATAAGTATGGTATATGCTTTTCACCTTCGAAGTGCAAAGTAATTTTACGAGACTGACAGGCCCCTGAACCTGCACTCACCCTGGGTAGTGAGCAGATAGTAATCAAGACGTTCGTGTATCTGGGTAGCTGCATAAGTGCTGGTGGTGGCGTAAATGATGAGATCGATTCACGTACAGTGAAAGCCAGAGCAGCTGATTCATACCTGATGATACATTGAAATCAAACATAAGACTCCAAATACTGAAACATCTTATAATTAGCTCAGTTAGAGTAAGATGAAAATTAAGGGGAACTAGTATCACTAGTGATAAGTTTGCTATCAAAAGCACGTGAATGTACCAGTTCCAAATTAATCTAGACATAAATTCTGAGCACATCAGTTGAAGTAGTTAAACATGTTTCAGTAGACTATGCAGTGATTTGATGACAATAGACAGTAACTCAAGTGAGTAAACGGGAAAGCTGAACAGATCAAAGAGGTTCGTACACTATATCCTAAAAAAACTTAGCTCTGAAGACTGTAAACTGAGGTATTTTTGACTACGGAATTGTACCCAGTATTAAATATATGCATGGATATTTGACTTAGTGGTATGTTGCAGTGTAAAACGAAATTAGAAATGTACTTTTATCCATATAGTGTTTGGATTTATCTCCCAAGTCAACATGTTTATTAGGAAGCCTATTAAGACAAACTGTGGAACTAAAGAAATTGTTTGCAACTGGCTGAAATTTCAGACTGATTTAGAAGTTTTCTGTCAAACATTATCATGAACGAGATCAATGTGTACAGTTACTCTGGTAAGATAGACAGTTTTTGAAAATAAGCTGTGTGGATTTAACTCAATTTCAAATGGTTTGGATTAGCCCGTTGTTAGTAATCTAAACTATTTCAAAATGAATTGAATCTCATACACTTTGCACAGGTGAAAGGCTATCTGAGCTTAGTAGCTGAGTAGATAACGCGATGGACTTTAAAGTAAACAGTGCTGCGTTCGAGTCCCATAGGGAATATTAACTCTGGGTTGCAGGCACATTCAGATAATAATTCCCAAATAGGAAGAAACGCATGTCCTAGACTCGACTACTAGCTACATTCTACTCTACAACAACTGTCTGAATATAGTTGTACTTCAAAAAACCGTACTTTTACTCCAACTTTGTAGGGGTTGGTTTTTGTCTTGAAAACTCACTTATCAAGATGGAATACGTACATGAGTCTTATTTGATGGAAACGACGTGTACAACTTCTGAACACCTTCAGTAAACCAAGACGTGGTATCATTCCATCGAACTGCTGACTTGAACTGAACTGTGCTAGTAGATGCGAATTACCTACTTAAGGCCCACGCGATCAGTTGTAGATTTCGGGCGATATTACTCAAAATCTATCACAGCGCCATAGATATATTCACACTTTACCTTCTTCTAAGTTGTAAGTTCTAGTATTCCCTTGCATAAACCTTTTCGTTCTGTTTTCTAGGACTATATTATCAATGTTTATCTTTCTTCACTATCAGGCCTACTAAAAGTATTGTGACTGCTTTGCTGTTTATCTTGTTAGTTTCCTCTTGTAGTGGTAATTTTACCATGGACGATTGGGTAAGATACACATTTATGTGAGGCTCTATGTTATGACTGACCCATGAGTAAAAATGATACAAAAATGTCATAGAATATACTAGTCAACTAATAATCATCATGACTCTGATGAGTTGTGGAAAAAGTGTTTCGTGGGCTGTAAAGTATGTCCAAAATACAAACTTAGAACGAGTAAATCTATGCGCCCGGTAGTTCTGCTTCAAATGACTCAGAGGTTTTTATTACATCTTCCTTCACAATAAAAAGATAATAAATATTAACCCATTCCAACAGGTTCTGCAATTTATGAGGATAAGTTTATCTGTAAACTAAAATATTTGATTAAAATTGGGAATTTTTTATGAAACACGAAACTTAAGGTAATAAAAACGCATTAGAGTTATATACGTAAACACCTCACCTCACAGTAAAATGATCCAGATAATCCAACAATAGAATTAAGTTCATTTAAATACTGAGATTTCAACCATTCGTGATGTTTTACCTCCCAGTTCTCCTGGAAAAGACAGGTAGTCATATAATCCATATGAAATAAACACAAAGGAACACTAGTTGGAAAAAGCAGTTATTTTTACCTCTAAAACACTGGAGTCAAATGAATTTATTCCACTAGACTGAAGAGTCCTTTGAGTATGTGTCAGACCACGTATGTGTAACATGAACGCACGCTCGGTACCAAAATCTTGTTTGCAAGTTGCACAATAGTGCTGCGAGCCTTCACTGTCATCATTGTCATCATTTCCAACATTTTGTTTACAAACAGTTGGTATATTAGTGGACCCTAATCCAAGGTAGTTTGCAAGGGAAAAGTTCTGGTCACCTGAATCTAAAATGAATCAAAAGTAAAGTCACTTAAAATTTCCGAGAGAAAATGATAAAACAAAAGCCTTGAGTTAGGTTATAAGAAACTTGAGCAATAATTTACGTAACTTTGCGACAAATGGCATCATGGTTATAATAAACAAATAAAAGTAACTGATGTATTTAAGCTAGAAATTGGATGGTTTGGTTTTTTTGATCACTAATCGATATATCATCTCAAAGTTCGATACTGGCTAAAGGTTAACACTGACTGATCGACGAGTATAATGTTAAGCAGCCCATTTGGATATCTACTACGAATTCGTTAAATGGGAGATCTTTCAAACAACTTATAGCAGCATAATACAGTCAGGTGAAAGAATGACAAGAAAAATTGTGGGGCATTCTGGATTTCAAACGATTAAACCATCTAGCTTAGAAAACACAACAGTTTGCGAATTCTATCCCTGAGCTACAAAGTTCTATCGTTTCATAAGCTTCAAGTTACATATGAGACACAAGAACGATTAATGTAAATTTTAAGGGTTTGTGGATATACGAAATATACTTTTTAATCCATAAAAAATGGCTCAAATGATTAGACACAGAACATCAGCGGTTGAAAACTAGTAAAAACAAGTATTGATCAGTTATCATTTTATTTGAAATGGTATTACAAATGAGCAAAATGTTTACGTAAAGAACACTTAAGTACGAGAAGCAAGTTGGTAGAAACTGTCAGTAGGAAACCTGGGATAACAGATCTTTAGTAGAATAACTCAGTTTATTATACTGCCAGTATTAGGTCAATGATATCTAGATGGATTGTACTTGGTGTAAGGAAATCACTATAAACTGTGTTCGATATGGATGAACTTATTTTGGTAGGGGAGCATCAGTCTTTAGTAAATAAACAGTAAGGATTCAAGACAATATTGCCTTTAATGAACAAATTAATAAGGTAAACAACATTTCATACAACAGTATGGTGATTCAACCAAAGACCTGGAACTCGGGCATTTCGGACACTGAATATTTATTTTTAGAAACCCATCTCAACAACAGCCAAAAATACTGATTATTGATCATCTGCAGCTGATTCTAGTGACATTTGGATACCTTCGTAAAGGAGAAGCATACATAACGTATGTCTCAGATGTTAAAACCTGTTTCTTGAGACAGTATCCTGTGGTAATCGTAAAGCAGCACAAAAAAAATCATGTCGGCGAATTTCCATATTGGTGGACTAAATTCTCAGGTTACTCATATAAAATGTACCTTTGAGATCAATATAACAATTTGAGTACTCAAACCACATTTAGATGATAGTCACTCCCTTAAAGATAGAAACCATAAGTACAATAATTTTAACTCACAATAAGACGTAGGTGCATTTTTATTGCAACTGGAATCCCCTGACACCGAACTGACCCATTTTTTATACATGTCATCCCAATCTATGCCGAGTCCTCGGCTTAAATTCACAAATATTTCATACCACTGAGGATTGGTACGAGCGATCCAACTAAGGTAATTATTCCAAGACGCCCAATCCCAATCTCCAGCTTTAACATAACGGTCAAAATATTCCTTCATTACGGCGTTCGGGTCAGAACAAGGATCCAGCACCTCTGAGTTTTCCGGGAGGGCCTTCTTTTCTTCTGAAACTGCATTATCGAGATCCACAGTCCCATCTGGTTTTATCTGCAGAACTGAGAGGAAAAATACAAACATACTTTCTCTTTGTCTTTATTCTCCTCATCGGAGCTCTCATTGAACTCAGGATCATTTTGCTGAACAGACTCCAAAAGTTTTCCAAAATAACTAATCATATTCTGATAGTAACGAGTGTAGTCGGCAGCAGCAGATGCCGAATAGGTTGTATTTGAGTTTGGAACACTATCAGTAGTTTGACGTTGGATGTTTTGAATGGTGCTAGCTTCGACTGAAACTTAAAAATGCCAGTCAACAAAAAAGTATCAAACCTTGATGGGAGACGTCATATCCCACTGTTGTCATGCTTCTTAAACGTTGGATATACTTAAGGTATCTGTAGTACTCCTCCGTAAGTTTGTCATACTGAGCCTTGTAATCTTCGGACTTGTCACCACCATTTGCGTACCACTCGCGAAGCTTCGCTGAGTAGTGGGAAAAGTAATCAAACATTTGCTCCTCATAATTTTTGATCTCAGCCAATTTGTCTGCGGTCAAAAGATGCGCCATGCTAGAAAGATTTTTATCACGTTCTGAAAGCAGTGTGGCTTGAGGATATACATTTATTCAAGGATTATTCAGTTAAACATTTGTTAAGTTGAATGAGGAAAGTGAAGAAATACAAAACAGCTACGAACCAGTCGAAAAGTGCGCAATCACGGGATACTTTTAAATCTCCCAGTATGTTTGGCCTTTAAAGCTCAAACCTCAAGTGCTGTCGCGTTCAAATAGCAACGTGTTGGTTAATTGGTATCAGAATACTAATTATAGTAGCCACCAACTAAGTTGAGGACGGTATAGGACTTCACGAATTTAAGGCAACGACACCATCGTATACCCTTTGTGACTAAGAGAAGAGATAATAGGTATATCGCACTAGTACCATGACTGCTTTGGTAAACGGCAAATACTATTATGTGGGTACCTACTGAAACTGATATCACCGCCTGACTTTTGAGCTGAATCTAATGTTTCCACATCCATATTATGAAAACTCTCACATCATTTTGCGCTTCTTGTGTATACCCAGTTCAAAAATAATACGAATTGATCGTAAAGCTGTTATGAGAAGGAAAGACACTAGAAATATTTAATTTCTTGATACAAAAGCTAGCTGTGATATTTGCATGTTTAGATCACTGAGAAAATCATCATATGTATATCGTTTGGTGATTTGTTTGATATCTTTTCTGGACATTGTAGCGACCTAATTTTGTGAAGAGAACGCGATTGGTATGATGAAAACAATTATTTATATGACCAACTGTGCCAGTGATTGTTTTACTGTGCCTGTTTGTTTAAGTGTACCGAAAAACACTCTCTTCAGTTGGTTGTGACCCTGAATGAACTCTCCCACGCTCAGTAGTCTCGCTTGTGGATTTTGGAACGATCTCGGTATTACTTCGACACCACGAGATCACCGACAAATACACCTTAACTACGGCCTTCAACACCGTCTGATATTTAGCCTACGGAGAGGTCTAACCTGGTAACTGGCATATAGTCGATCTGTAGTGGTGATCATGGTTAACCACGACGCGACGCCTACTACAACATAATGTTTGGGAAAATTAGCTCGTTTCACAACACACCGCATATGGAAGTAAGAGATTTTTGTAGCTGACTTTCTGATTTAAAAATATTCTAGGAAATGAAGAAGATTTACTGCCTGCTGGTTAGATTAGGTACCTTAAACTGTGTTTCAGCTATTTGTGTATTAAGCTACTCATATGTTAAGCAGAAAATGTTTTTTCTACTCAGTAAACCAAGTCGGAGGATTTTTCAGTATCTTTAAATGGTCACGACCATAAGGCAAACAAGACCCTGGTGCTTTTAGTTATTATATGTAAAGTTCTTGAATAATTCCTGTTTTAAACATTTTTTTAAATTTTTCGTGTTGAGTCTTCTACACAGCATAATCTCACACTCTGGAAGGTATGTATGTGACTTGCCATTAAATGATGCTGTAGGTTTAAGTTACTTCCCCACTTTATATACTTACACCATGGCAATCAGTACCAAGGTAATAGCCTCCTCGTAAACAAATAAAATTTGCTGAACTAATGAAATAGAATGTAACCAAGCCTGCAAGTTTTCACTAGTATTGATCGGGGTTCAACATTGACACGTGATTTAGTTCCTAGTTTAAAATTATATCGGCTATTGCTTTGGTTTCACTAGGGTACACATATTATTATTTTGTTCTAATTTTTAAGACACCTATTAACTTCAATAGCCGAGAATATATGTGTAAACTTCGGAGTTATTAGAGTTCCAGCAGTCACCTGCCATAGGATTAACAGACATTCTCGCATAATGACTTAAAAAAGCAAATAAAGTGGTGGTGACGGTACTAACAGGACGAACATAAATACGAGATAAACACCATAACTAGTTATCGATAATGGTTTCCCAACATCGTCATTAAGTATTGTTGAGACTTAAAAACCAAGTACCAGAATTGATATTTTAGGAAACTGTCAACAAAAAGATGTTTGTCGACAAACTGACCAATTATTATAATCAGTGTTGTTTTCTTGAAGTCATCTTTATATGGCTGAAGATTTCCGCAAATTTTTCGAAGTTGTACTTCAAGTGCTATCGATATCTTGGGAGATATTTAATCTAAAATGTTTCTGTAGTGGTATTGGCTCTTAATCACACAAGTCTCGAAGCTGAACATGTAATTACTACGAAGCTTGAAATTTAACATGCAGCACTAGGAAAAAGTCGACGATGGTGAAGGAGGCAAGAATCAATCAGATGGCATCGCTCATCCTTTCAGATACGGTCATTTTGTGTAACTTGTTACTATTCACATTAAATATGTTGTTCTGTCTCTAGCTCGTGTGTGTTCTTCAGAAGTGCCAAGTATCATATTGCCGATCGTTATGTGAGATGAGTCAGTGTAGACAATGATGTGACTTTTACGTAAGACCTTATGAATTAGGTAGTAACATCATGACAAATCTACAATTTCCGGATTAAGTTAATTATTATAGTGGCACTAATATAGAACGGGACCATAATTCAGCATCTCAATTAAAACTAATGAGGCCAAAATCAAATGTCAAAAATTTACAGGACTATTTATTTTACAATACTTATTTACTGCTACAGCCCAATCTCCACTTAATAGGGTAGTGATGCACCTAACAAGTGGCCAGCCAGGAGCTTAAACCCAACGAGCATATCGTTAGTAAACACCCTTCTGATAGCTTGCCATGTTCAACAGCACCTAGTCATTATTCCCTAATCTAAGGAAACGCGTGGCACATAATAGCGACGAAAAAAGATACAGTGACAATTTCGATTCATCGCAAACTTCGTCGATCTTTTTATCCTTTCCAAACATCTTGGAAAAGAAAAAGGGATATGTAAGTGCATGACGAAATACAATCGTGTGCGCTTAAGGACATAGAACGGGTAAAAAGGGAAAATAAACTTGTGTAAATGCATTATGATAATGTGCGATAGCTTAGAAAAAATGTTTGCGCGATGGTTTTTCGGTTTTTTGGAAAAAGACTTATATATTCACATACATATGAGCATATTAGCAAAAACTTTTACTCTTGGTTTTTTGACACAACAAAAAAACAGGATGAAAAAAATGTTATTTTGCGTCCTGCTACTAGTAGTCCTTCAAGTGTTCCGAAAATCTTACCCTTTCAGGTTGGCTGTCAGGTACAGCCGGAGATTCTTCATGAATGTTGCTTATGAGGTGGGTTATCGCAATTGTGAGTCCTGTATCGTTCGACTGAACCGAACAAAAATCAAGATTATAAGGGTCTCCTTAATAAGCGGCCTTAAGATGGCCAGTGTTGATGCTGCCGTTGGTTCTGTTCTTATCAATGATATGGTACGTGGGTTCATCTTGAGCTTTGAAGGGTCCTTCGTATGCCATTTCGGGTGTTCGTCGAAGTGAATTGCAACGTACAAAGACATGCGTACTACATCGTAGGAGAGGTTGAACGAAAACAGTTTACTGCGGCCGACTGGAAACAGGCTTAGCTGAACGTATGACATCTGTAGGCCTGTTCGTGTAGGAGTTCAGATCCGTATTCACTGAAGATGAAGAATCTACGATTTCCCCTGGAAGGCAGAGTTCCGTTCTGTAAACGAGTTGCGTTACAGTGTTTCCAAAATTAGCTTTCGCTGCATTTTTGATAACGAGTAACAAGCAGAAGAGCGTCAGCCCACTATGAAACGCTTGCAGCGGAGATTGAAGCTTTCTAATGTCAGCGAAGTCATTCTGTCGACCCGATTGCTTTTGGGTGGTAGACGGGTCGCTTGTAACCGCGTGGTTCCCAGTAGGGTAGTTATAGAATTGTGGCCGAGTTCGTCGTTAGTACTGTTCTAATTATAGACCTAATCCTAACATTATAGGACTGTCAAGATACGACTACCCAGTCTATGAAATCTTACATGGAAATCACATTATTGTCTATTCTGACTCGTCGTATCGTGATGATTAGCAATATCGTGTTTGAAGTTCCTAAAAAAACACTTAGGTTAAAGACAGAACAATATATTTAATGTGAGTAAAGTTAAGTTATATAGAACGACCACGTTTGCAAGGCTGAGCTATGTCACCCGATTGAATGAGTGAATATTCCCGAGCTCACCATCCTTGGCCTTCTCTTCCTGTTAAAATGTTGAATATCCATTTTCCAAGTTATCTCATGTTCACCTTCGAGGATTGTGTGGTTGGGACCAGTACCACTACATAGGCAGACAATGGAAAAGTTCAGATTCAAACTGAGACCAAGGTCTATAAGGATATTTGAAGAACAGGTGGGGTTTACCATCCATCTTTCGAAGACGGTGCGAGCCACTTTATCAGTAGAAATGTCCTTGATGGGTACTGCTTCTGGCCATCGTGTGAAACGGTTCAAACATGTTAAAATGTAAGAGTATACATTTGAATCTGGTAAAGGTCCTACCGAATACGGATGAACAAGGTCGAAACGAACTTAGGGAGTTTTGAAGAAGCCTAGGGGACATTTGTTGTGTCTAATCACCCTACACCACTTGCAGCTTATACAGGAGCTTGTTAACTTCCACACGTCTCTATTCATACCAGGCCAACAAAATCGTTCTGTGATAAACTTGATAGCTGTACGAACATCTGGGTGAGAAAACTTGCGCAACATATTGAGGAGTTTGCGTCGATAGTGTTTCGGCACAATTAAACCATCCCTAACTGCAGATGTGTCGCATAATAAGGTTTCCCTACCTGTCTCCATTCGTTAAATACGCATTTTTAGCGCTGTCGAAGACAACTCGTGATGAAGATCAGTGTCTTTTTTTTAAGCTAGGTGAGTTTGAGAAGGTCGATCCTTTGAGAAATGTTCAAGGAAGCGTCTGCGACCACATTGTTTGCTCCAGAAATGTGTTGTATATCTAAAGTAAACGGTGAAATGTAGTCCAGTTGTCGAAACTCTCATCGAAAGTGGTATAAGAAATATCTAATAGCTCTATACTACAACCTACTTACATGAAAGATTGTGTTGTTTACAGACAAAGCATTGATGTGTGGTCGAGAATGATACTGATTGGTTGTCTGCTTAGTCAGACATGTAGATAGTCTGGCAGGTGTCAGATGAATTATATACTCCCCTATCCTTATAATTATTATTATCGATTGTTCATTGTTGTTGGATTGTGTCGGGTTTTGGTGTGGAAATATATTTACGCTCTAGTCGGGCTAATCACGTATTCTTGATCTGAGTTGTGCTGAGGTCCTGTAGAATAGACACTGGAAGATAATCTAGTGTAGATATTCGTCTAAGGTAAACTAACCGCCCACACGTGTAAACGTGGGAACCCAACCGTTATAACAACCATATTGGATTCAAAAATTACTCGACAATTCGTCCTAATTATGACATTTATTTGCACAATTATAAATATTACTAAGCTGGCTACAGTAAATTCTTATGAAAAGTCTATATTATGACTCGACATATTCCTAACTGTAGTTCCACACACCGTCTCAACTTAAAATGGTTTTGGCTAAGTTTATTATTTTTAAATTGTTATATTCCTCACTAACATCCATGTTAACCTGGCCTGTACATGCGTTGCATTATATCTCTGTGCCTTTTAAATCTAAAAAATCATTTAACCACCCTTAACTTTTTCACTAAACCCATCATATTCGTTATCGCTGTACGTATTTGGGTCTATGAATTGGTATATCATAATAGTTGCCTAAAAAAACGAACTTAGTTCAGATAATAAAGTCACCAAATCTGAGTACTATTATACTGCACTAGCATAATAACTAAACTGTTAAGTAATTGTCGGTCAAACTAACACATAAAATCAAAACTTCGGAGCCTATATTTAGAATGATCGCTATATAGACGAGTATTTCTGAATTACAATTTATAATATAATCAAGCAGCTCGGATTCGTTAACGCTACAGACTGCTATTTCAGAATCATCCAAGACAACTATACCTATTTCCCACTAGCTAATCCACAATCAGAACAACACATATAAGCGAACAATTGTTTTCAATTAGATCGTCATCAGGCTTTACTCTAATATAAATGAATATTTATACGAAAATTTTAAACCAATCAATGCAATATGGGTCAATAACCACAATGAAATAGAATAAGTCTCTACACATAAATTAGGTAAAAGGACAAGTTGATAGTAGGAAGACACCATGAATAGTTAAACATAATGGTTTCAGGATATCGTCATAAGTCATTTTCATGACTTGATAATTGCGCAATATGATTGAGAAGATTGATGAAACTGTTAACAAAATCAGTCAACAAATTGACTTGTAATTGTCATCAAATAGTGTTGTTTTCTCGTTATCCTCATCCATCACAGGTGATTACAGTATGCTTTCCTATCGGTTGCTCATTCAGAAAATACCTTTAAGCCTCGTCAGTTTGATTTGAGGCTTCGCGACACAATCATGCATACAGTTCATCAGTTCAGGCAATCGAGCAAATATCCTACGAACTGAAAACACTGTCGAATTTACCCCAACACATGATTTCGAAATCCAAATATAGTATATTCGTTCGTGCTTATCTAGCACTTCTTGATCCAATTGCGTTATTTCTGGGATTCTTAGATCGTACTATAGTTCAAATACCCCTAATTATTATATTAGCGTCGCGATGTAGCCTGTGATGGATTTGTTGGACATACATCCAGATTTTGATGCTTTTGAGGATTACTGTGAAAGGTTCGAAATTTGGACCATGACGAAGGAGGATATTGAGGATGTTAATATTGTGGCACATTTTCTCACGATTATCGGAAAAGAAGCATACAGTTTAATAAAAACTCTGGCTTTACCAGAAAAGCCCATTTCACTTCTTTATGCAACTCTAAAGGAACTACTGCTAGACTGTGTTAAGTATACAAATTTCGAATGCGGTAAAGAACGGAAATTTCATAAAATTATTCATCAGGACATAAAAAATTTCGCTACATTACTACGTTGTCCCGTTCCAATGAGTGCTCAACGTTATGCTGATGACTCATTGAGGATATGAGATAAAATTCACAAAAGTGAGATCAAGTTTGATAAATGTTTATCCTGTGAGAAATTTCACTCTCGTAATTCATGTGTATCTCATAATGCTAAATGTTTCAAATGTGGTAAGATTGGACACGTTCAGTCAGTTCATTCCGCTGAAACTAATGCTAAATTTGTACTTGTGATCCTATTAAGTTAGTTGCTTCTAACGATCATTCATCTTTATCCACGACTTTGAAAAGCGGCACAGAGTCATGTAGCAAACCAGAGTTAAATGGGACTCAGAATCATTGTGAGATAACAGTTTCTAATCAGTTAACTTACCAGATTTCTAATTTTATTGTACCAAATATGGCCTTTCCCAATGATTCACATATTTCTGACGAAATTCCTTGCAAATCTGAGGAAAATATATTGAGTGAACCTAATCATGATCAAAAGCCTGATGTAGTTTTGATAGATGCTGATTTTTCTAATCATCTTTTACTCTGCAATGACATTCTTAATAAATTCGAGGAAACTATTTCAGGAGAATCAAATCTTGATGTCATATCAAATATTATTTGTACTCATAATGCATTCGTTTCTTGTGGGAAACTTGATCAATGTGAAGCACAAGTACTAAATGAGTTCGATTTCGATTACAATTCGGATGATTTCATATTAACTGCTGTTTATCCTTATCACAAAAACACTTCTAATGTTTACTCTAACCAATGTGAGAAATATGTTTTAAATGAAACCACACCATTCATGACTTGGGGATATGAAAATTCAACATTATTTCGTGGGGGAGGATAATCTGAAAGTCTATGATTCAAATACAAGGTGGCAGTGGTTTCAGCGCACAACTAACACAGTGATTGTACACAATCCCAGGACGCAGGTGAGTCTGTTTCAATTTCGGTTGTTAATTCCAAAACTAATGAGCACATTCTAGATAATACAGAGTATTTATTCAATACACTGTCGGACAGATACAGGATGAACTTAAGAAGAAGACGCAGAATCGATTACAGACACTTAGATTTCAAATATAGTACATTCGTTCGTGCTTATCTATTACTTCTTGATCCAATGGCGTTATTTCTGGGATTCTTAGATCGTGCTATAGCTCAAATACTCCTAATGATCATATCAACTATATAATCTTCACTTAGATTTTCCTTTTCAGCCTGTTAAGCGATAAAACAGATATTTTAAGGCTATTACGTCTATTTTCTGATTAGTTTCTGACGCCTTTTTGATTTATATTTCAGCTCATCAATACCAGGACGTTTCTTATTATTCTCGGTAACCTCCGGAGTGAGATAATCTAGTGGAAGAGTGGTGTAGTGGTATCAGTCCTAACCACACGATACTCGAGGGTGAACACAAGATGACTGAGAAAAGTCACACTCAGCATCTAACACAAAGAAAAAATTAGTAATTGTGAACACGGAAGCAATGAATCGAAATAGCATGACTCGACCTTGCAAGTGTGGTCACTACGTAAAACCTAATGCATTTTGTATTGAATGTATTACTTTCTGCCCGGCACAAATGTGTCATCAACGGTGATAGATGTCATATTGGTGAGTGTCACGATAAAACGAGTTAGAAAAGGGAATCGCGTGACTTTCACGTGGGATCTTGTAGATAAGGTGGCCACATCATGACGAATCTACAATTTTAGGATTAGGTCTATTATTATGGTAGCAAATATGAGCATGGAAAAACTAACTTCAACGTATCAGGAGGTTCTGTGACGCATCAGACATCATCATAAGGGATGGATCTCTATAGAAACCTTAGACAAGATTCGAGAAAGGAAGAACGAAACGGCAATTAACAATAGCTGAACAAGAGCAGAGAAAGCCAAGGAACAAACTGTATACACAGAAGCAATTGAAGAGGAGCATTAGACCCGACAAGCAGAAATATGTGAAAGACCTAGCAACAACAGCGGAAAAGGCTGGAAAAGAAGGAAGTATGAGACAGCTATATGACACGACGAAGAAACTGGCAAGGAAGTATAGTAAGCCAGAGAGACCAGTCAAAGACAAGTAAGGCAAGACAATTACTAAGACTCAAGGAAAGAGGAACAGACGGGTAGAGCACTTTGAGGAACTCTTGAATAGGCCAGCCTCACTGCACCCAACGGGTATTGAAGAAGCATCCACAGATCTTCCTATGAACGTCACTCCACCAGCGAAGGAAGAAATCGGGATGACCATCAGACGAATAAAGAGCGAGAAAGCAGCAGAACCTGACGACATACCAGCTGAAACACTAAAGTCAGACAAAAGTAACTGCAAGCATGCTTCATGTTCTACTCAGAAAGATTTGGAAGGAAGAACAAGTGCCGATCGACTGGAAAGAAAGACCCCTTATTGAGATTTCAAAGAAATGAAATCTGAGCAAATGTGGAAAATGCAGAGGCAATGACCGAAGAATTCGATTGTGGACCTTTTGTTTGTTTAGCCCTTTTAATCTGAGAAAGTGATACTAGTTATGTAGTTCTAGTTACTCATTCTGGTACTTACGGCTATGATCAGATCTCTCACTGGACTACCAAGATATGAACTAGAACCTGGGGTAAAGTATGTATGTTTGATTACCTGTAAGTTCGTAAGATTAAACTCAAAGCTGAAATAACCTATTTGTGTGTATATAGACGAACGAACGAATTTTGAATGACTTGTAGCACTTGTATCGGTAAGTAAATCTGTAGGACAGGCATTTCTATAAGTCTTCGGAACTGTTGCTGACCTCGTTGGTATTACTGGACATGACGTCGCTGAATGCACTTTATCACGTATCCGTACCAGATCATAAATGAGTACGCCGTACTACACACTACTCACAACTACTAGCCAGTTTAGATCAAACGCCTCTCTAAATATAGAATGCCTTAAAAATACATCTTTGAACTCATCCATCCCTTACTTCTGGTCTAATTATGTTTCGAATCATTCAGTTATATAGTTGTCACAGACGAAAGGATTGGCTACCCTGAATATATGTGGCATCTTTATATCTAATGATGCTACGGCAAATTTTTAAGTAGATAGAGTTTTCTTGCTTTTTCGGCCTAGCTATATTCCATCAGACAACACTTTGAAGCATCAAGTATTTGAGGAACGGATTCGAATGTGTCGTAACAGTGACACGGTAAGGTAGGAACCATTTTCTGTTTGGAATTATTGATCAATTGCTTGGATCAATACCTTTAATTGTCCATATGGAGTTGGTTGAAGGCTAATTGTGCCAAGGATTTACTCACATATTATCGGGGTATTTACTCTAGCGGCGATTCCAACCAACTGATGCAGTTATGTATGACAAAGTCAATAGTGATTTGTTTACTCTAAAATGACAGAAACCGCCAATCAGAACTTGGAGATTTTTAAGCTAGTTAGGTTTCCTTGGAGGCTTTTTCACTCGATTTCAATGTACTTTTAAGTGTTCTGTTTAATCTATTTATTATGACATTTTCGCTACCTGTGTTATACCTGAGGATAGTATATTTTGTAAATGAATTCCATATGTAAACATTTTTGTGTAGCCAGCTCACAATATTCTACGAGGTCTGAGCAATATTCCTCATACCCTTAGTTTGTCATTAACCCATGCTCCCTATTTTCGGGGAAAATCTACCCGTTTTCGATTAATTTTAGGCAAGCCACAATAGGAAATGCTGGAAAAGTGACACGAAAACCCCAGACGTTTCTCCAGATCTGGGGAAGATCCTCGAACTTTTGGAGAACTTTAGGGTTTACCCCAATATATGCCCGAAAACACTTCAGGGAGACCCCTAAAATTAACTCAGAATAGGAAGATTGAGAACCCAACAACTTAGAAAATTACATTTAACCACCTAGAAGTGCTCAAATACGCTTCCACCAGTTGAAAAACCTTAAAATATTGGGCTTAGAATTGCTGGTGACGTCGAAACCTATATCTCGTGATCCCAAACATCTGTCGGTAGGACTATATTTTATGGACGGCCTTTGAACGAATTTTTAAGTGACCTTGAACCTATTAGCCAATCAGAAGAGAGTTAGTATAAAGTAAAAACATTATAAAATACTTATGAATTACAGCAGATATTCTACTTTTACATGATTTAAAAACTTGTTAAGGTTAGATAAAGGTTCAGATGTCCTGAAATCATATTGCATAGGGTTAGGGTGCACAAACCAAAGTCTATGGAGGCATCTATACGCTTTCCAATTCCTCAAACGCTTCTGATTGGCTCGTCCATAAATTAGAGTCTTACCCAACTGTCTTGTGTAGGTTCGGTTAGAAATATCTTCATCCTACATAACCACCCTAAACTCGTAGCATCACTGCCGCTTGCTTGTAGTCCTAGAGTTGGAAAAGTAGTTTTTCCTAAGCCTCTTTAGGCAGGAAATGTTATGTTTCCTCGAGACATCCAAACAGAATTTTGGGCGAGACTCTAATTTAGGGACGAGCCAATCAGAAGCGTTTGAGCAATTTCAAGGTCACGGAGCCAAGTTCAACACGCGCTGCTAACATACGATCGGTTCACAGCGGATTTTAGAGAGTAGGTGATTAATGAGAGGTTACAACAGATGGGACGGCGAAACTCTAATTTAGGGACGAGCCAATGAGAAGCGTTTGAGCAATTTCAATTATTAGCCAATCAGAAGACAGTATAAAGTAAAAATATATTACAAGAAAGTAATGAATTACAGTGGATATTCTTCTTTTACATGATTTAAAAACTTGTTGAGGTTTGATAAAGACTCAGAAGTTCTGAATTCATAATGCATATTGTATAGAAACTCGTCCATAGGGTTAGGGTTTGGGGTTAAAATTAGGGTTAAGGGTTAGGTTAAGGTTAGGGTTAGGGTTAGATTAGGGTTTAGGGCTAAGGTTAGGGTTTTTGGGTTAGATTAGGGTTTAGGGTTAGGTTTGGTTAGGTTTAGGGTTAGGGTTAGATTAGGGTTTAGGGTTAGGGTTAGATTTGGGTTTAGGGTTAGGGTTAGGTTAGGATTAGGGTGCTAACATGCGATCGGTTTACATCGGATTTTAGAGATGTGTTTACTTACAGGCTACAACCCTAACCACTAACCCTATGGACGAGTTTCTATACAATATGCATTATGTATTCAGAGCCTCTGAACCTTTATCAAACCTTAACAAGTTTTTAAATCATGTAAAAGAAGAATATCCACCGTAATTCATTACTTACTTACAATATATTCTCACTTTATACTAACTGTCTTCTGATTGGCTAATAATTGTCAAGGTCACTTAAGATTCGTTCAAAGGTCGTCCTTAAATTAGAGTCTCGCCGAATTTTGCATTACACAAAAATGTGTCTCTAGATCCCAAAACTCAGTGGGTGTTTTTGTCGTCAATTGATAGTAACTCAGAAATAACAATAGCAAACGGATACTGGGGTTTACAAGCACAGAATGATCCTAAACGTTCACTTAAAAATTATTTCGAAGCTAGAGTAGTACTTTTCTAATACTCAGGATTTCCTGGTTTGTTATATATCGCTCTGGTTTTTTTTTAACTATGCTGTACCTCAGCTAACATATTTATACGACCTTGCACTTACAGAGACTTCTCAGTTATTTTTAACAGATGATTATCAAACGTAGATCCATCTATAAATCCCCCTTAGTTGTGTTCATCGATAGTTTGCACTAGAGTCTAGACCTTAATTTTGTGCAGTAAAGGACGTGTTAGATGTCTACAAATAATACATTCCGTTACCAAATCAGAGTATCTTCTCTAAAGTGGATTGGAAGTAAGTAGACAAAATCGAGTGGTATTTTCCACTCGGGGCCCATTTTCGGACATCAGTTTGGCTAAGTATTGACTGGTCATTAAGAAACGAAAATACCTGTTGAGAAGTGACATACAGAGCACGATTTACATGGGATATCTCGTTCAATTTGTATATTTTTCAACCTATTTTAGGACAGTTCCATAAGACACCGAAAACAACCTACACTTTGATTTTATTGGTAAGCGTTTAGAACAAAGCTAGTGAACTTGGGTAATATAATCCCGATTTCATGTTGAAATTGTGTATTCTTAGGCATTCATTCAGTTACATTTTGTTGTTAATTCTCTCTTAACTTGACTAAGGTGTCAATTTCGGAAACTTTTTTTGACTTGATAGAATTATAAAGGCACGTAATGCCAACCTCTGATATACATAATAAATATCGAGAAGTTAAAGAAAACTTTGAAAATTACTTTAATACATTCGTCAGTCTGTTACATCATGACCATCCAAAAAGTCTTCAATTGGCAGAACAACATTTCCAAAATGTAAGTGTTCATTTTTTTACTTATTCTTTCATCAGTACATTAGGCTTTACCAAGATCTTCGCTCTCACAGGTTATCTTGCCAGGATCTTTTTCATTATTTAGGCAACAGAATGAACAACCTTGACTCATTCTAATTCGTTCTAATTATGTCACTAAATATATCGTAAGTTATCTTGTTTATTTACATTAGGTTACTGAAAGATCAAAAAGTACCGATTATATGTGCCACTGTTCGAGATATTTGTGTGAAATATTGAGACACTTTAGACAATGTACATAGGAAGCGATACGTAAGATATCACGTCGAACAATGAGTAGTAATTTGGTTTCGTTTAATGTTCCTTTGCGAGTCTTGAGGATAAAAATATTTTTTAAGAGGCCTTTCTCAAGTCAGACATCACATTATTTGTCGTCATATCATTGCAAAAATAAATTTTAATGTTGATATTCACGTTTAAAGTAGACTTCGTAGTATACATGGATTGTGTATATGAGATTTCTCATAAGCTGAACGGCTTGTTCTTAATAAAAATGATGGTCAGTTAACTCACTTCAGGTATGAGTACAGCAAAAGGGCTACTTAAATTACGTCTAAGTAATATGCGCTGCTTACTAGTGTCTTTACTCCATACTATCAGTAAAGAATATCTTACATTGACCAAAAACGTTTTTTGTCTTATGTATAGAGATTTTTTGTAAGAAGATATCGACCAATCTAGTTAGAACATCAGTCAATCATCTACGACGTAGGGTCAGGTACATATATACATCGGTCCAAGTTTTCATAACTCATTATCACAACAAGATGGACACCAAATCTATAGGAGCAGTTACCTCAATGGTAGTAATATATAAAAACAAAGATCTCATACAAAGATATGATACAGGGAGAAAGAATTATTTCGTAGAAAATTATTTTAATCTCACGATTTAAGGGAAGACAAAGAATGCATACACTTACGCCATTCTGGTCGATTCTGAACCATTTCACTCAGAATCTCCAACAAATGGTTACGATAGTCGCGCGGACCCCAACCAATTAGATTTCATCTACTAGTATGGCTTAGACTGGAAGTTAGTAACTTTATGGAGTGATGCTGCGTTTTAGTTTGACCGCTCCTAACTTCCATCATTGTCGGACGCCGATAAGCATGCCTGTGTTCTAAAACCTGACGAATGGTGAATATGTGATCAATGCAGCCACGACCAGGTCTGAAGCCAGCCTTATTTTCTCGTGTTTGCAGTTCACGAGTCTTTGTTAGACGTCCGATAATTATTGAGGCTAATATTTTAGTTGCCATTTTAGTCAAACTAATTCCTCTATAGTTATCACAGGATGATTTTGACCCCTTATATATTGGGACGATCTGTGATTGCAACCAGTCAGATGGGATTGCGTCCAGTCCCCAGATTTTAGTTAAAATATTGATCAACCTAATCGCTGAAACTTGACCACCATCCTTAAAAACCTCTAGAATTAACCCATTTGCACCATCTTCTATCCCTCGTTTCAGATTAGTTATAGCTTTTTGAACTTCAATTAGAGTCGGGGGACCTAACTCAGTGTTCCATTCAGGCTGACTGGGAATGGTGGGTAGTTGTAGAGTAGCTGAAGACCAGCTGAACTGTTACTTAAAGTGTTCCGCCCATGGTTCTAAACGTCTAGGCGGAGAGCAGATAAGCGTGTCGTCTTTCTTGATGATTGTCTCACTTACACTTGGCTTTTAAATTCCGGTTTCTTTTACTAGTCCGAAAAGCTGTTTTGTGTTAGCTACAGCCTTTTCCTTTTCCATCTCTTTTACTTTTGTGGCTCGCCACTGCTCACGGTCGTTCCGTAGACTTTTGGTTAACCTAGATCTGACTTGTTTTCGCTCTTCATTTTGTTCAGAGCCTGATGGGATACGTTTACGATAATCAATCAGTACAGTAGACTTAATAGAAACCCACTGGTTTTTCGTAACCATTTGGTTCAAATCAATAATAAATGTCGCCACTGTTTCCACAGATGTTCGTATATCTTTCCAAGCAACATCTGGGTCAGCCTCGTTTTCAAAATCGTCGAAGTGTGGTTCCAGTTGTTCCTGAAATATACCTTTGGCTTTATCGTCGCCGAGTTTAACTCTAATGGGTTTTAATGTCTTTTTTGCGTCCAGTGCGGCGCAAGCAAATGCGTGCTCGTATTAGAGCATGATCAGAGTCCAATCATGTATTCCAGAACGAACAGCAGTCTTCTATCGAGCCTCTCCATTGGTGAACGATGGCAATATGGTCTATTTGAGTCCATTGTTGGTTTGGTGCAGGGGGTCGCCATGTTAGGCGATGTCTCATGCTTTAAATTATTGCTTGTTAAAAATAAACGATTGTCTGAACAAAGTTGTAGCAGTCATCATTATTTGTTCGCTTGGTCAGAATAACAAAATACCTACTTAAATGTCTTTCTGTTTGGTTTAAACTGCCTACTTGGGCATTAAGGTCGCCTGTTACGAGTACTACGTCTGAGTATTTAGCTTTTTGAAGAAGTTCAGAAAGCTTTTTGTAAGATTCATCTTTCGTTTCACCCAGGTTGCAGTCAGTGGGAGCGTAGGCAGAAATGACGAAAAGATGACAACGTGTTTCTCTGTCCTTCCGAGTTCTTACAGAACCTTTTAACCGAACAACACATAGGTAACTGTTAACAGGGACAATATTTCGCACACTCGAGTCGTTGGCCATGGTGACACTCAAGTAGTAAGTTTATGGTTGATAGTCGAGGTAGGAGAAATAATAAGGATTGACGAGGAAAATCGGTTATGAATATAGTGGTCTTGAGTGCTGTTAGAGGTATGAGGGCGTTTATCAACTCCCGGTTACTCACACCATAAAAGGGTTATTCTAGAGGTACCCGACCGTAGCTGCTACCTTGATGTGGTGGTCGGGTTCGCCTATCGTGATGACCAAACCGAGCTATATTGGCTGGAACATATGTTCCTGTAGGTTCTACCATGCCAAGCAGGCCAATTGGAGAACGGTAAGACTAAAAGCAGCAACTCAAGGTCTGAAGGCGAAGTCGTACTGCTGACTGTAGAGGGATGTGACAGCAGTAAGGTGTTTCCCTCGGACAAACAACATCTGCAGCGATGCTTCCTACTCACAAGAAAGGAAGGGGTTAGAAAAGGTCGACCCTCAAAATGTCACGCCTCACATTACCTCGCAGATTTCCGTCTCCGGCGGTAAGGCCCTTTGGAGAACGGAGCTAACACGTCAAAAACCTCCCACAAAAAGGCCGTGCGCGACCGGCCTCAAGCAGTTGTCCCTTGGGCTCTGCGGTCACGCTCCCAGGTCGTCAAGACCAACACTAATCCAATTTCCTTTTCAGGTTCCTCAAGAAATACCCTTCCACGGTGTGGGCAGCCGAGAAGTGATATCAGCCCTCATACCCGTAACAGCATACGAGACCTAGTTGTTCACATTCAAATCCTTCCTACACCTCATAATAAATCTCTTATCTCCACGACTAACCGTTCTCACGTTCCTTTATCACCTCGCACCGTTAGGGCAAACGATTCGATTACGCGGAACGTTATTCCTGGTCTCCTGAAATCACTCTCTAAACTACATATAGGAGCATTTAACGTCCGAACACTGTGCCAAATAGGACAACAGGCTTCCTTAGCTAGGATAGCGAATGCAAGAGAGATGGAAAAGGCAGCGGCGATAGGTAACAGCAGACAACTGTTCAGGCTTGTTAAGGAAACTGGTATTAGGAACCTAACTTTTAGTGAAACTATCTCCGAAAAAGATGGACATATTGTTCATTCTCAATCCAGGAGATTGGATCGATGGACAGAACACTTTAGGGATCAATTCAACTGGCCTTCAGCCACACTTCTGTTTCCCACGATCTCCAGTCGACCTGAATGGTAAGTTGATGTAAGTCCTCCGACTCTTTGCGAAGTTGAAAAAGCTATAGGAAATCTGAAGCGTGGGAGAGAGGCAGGCTCTGACAGGTTTACTCCTGAGACTTTTAAGGATTGTGGTCCAGTATTAGCAGCGAGATTGACTGAGGTCTTAGGTAGGATCTGGGAACTGGATGTAATCCCATCTGACTGGTATCAATCACTGATTGTATAAAAAAAGCACAAAAGTCTTCTTGTGACAATCACAGAGGGTCAGTTTGATTAATATAGTGTCTAAAATATTAGCTTCAATAATTCTTCGACGCCTAACCAAAGCTCGTGAAGAGCAGACTAGAGAAAATCAGGCTGGTTTTCGACCTGGACGTGGTTGTATAGACCAGGAATCAGTTTGACTAATAGACACACATTCAGACGTTCCAAATTAGTAGCATGTCTCGACCTTAAGGCAGCACTTGAATCTGTTGATCGTGAGGCTCTGTGGCAGTGTTTGTCACTGAAAGGAGTATCAAAGACGTACATTATCCTTATAAAGGCTCTCTACTCGAACACAACTGGTCGAGTGAGAGCTTATGGCGAACTTTCATCAGAATTGATTACCTCAAGTGGTGTTCGTCAGGGCTGCCCACTCTCTCTATTCTTGTTTAACTTCGTCATTGACGTGCTTTTAGAGATAACACTTTCCTCATCTAAATTTCCACGGGTTGAACGTTTACCGGGAGATTCACTTGTTGACTTAGAATATACCAATGGCAGTTCTATTTGGTGAAGACGCTGACAAAATGCAGTCTTCTGAACACCAATAAGCAACAATGCAAGCATGTTCGTGATGCAAAATATTGCTTCAGGATTGGGTTGCATCGACACCCGAACTAATGATAGGGAGTAAAGTAGTTGAGTGTGTCGATCGCTTCACTTATCTCGGGAGTCTCATCAGCCCTTGTGGTCTGGTGTGTGACGAAATCTCAGCACCGATACAGAAGGCTCAACTAGCTTTTACCAACTTGCGTCATTTATGGCATAGGCGAGATATCCGTCTACCAACCAAAGGACGTGTTTACTGCGCAGCAGTTCGTTCCGTCCTACTTTATGGCAGTGGAACATGGCCAGTAAGGGTAGAGGATATTCGTAGGTTACTAGTGTCCGATCATAGGTGTCTTTGAAACATTGCTCGTATATCCTGTGACCACCGAGTAAGTGACTCAGTTGTTAGGAAACGGGTACTAGGTAAGGATGGCGAAACAATTGATGAACTAGTGAAACTTCATCAGTTGAGATGGCTGGGACACGTGTTACGTATGCCCAACGACCGACTGCCCCGACGTGTGATGTTTCATGGTGTAGGAGTAAGTTGGAAGACTACAAGCGAACAGACCAAAACATGGCACAAATCCATGAAATCACTGACAAGTGGACTGAGCCATGTTGATAGGTGTAGACTACCTGGTTGGGATCGACGAGACGATAGCAACCGATGGTTAGAGATCTTGAATGACATGGCTCGAAATCGTTTGCAGTGATGTGCGCAGGTGTATCCACTCTTTGTGTTCTCCTAAATTCTAGTCTTCTGAATTCTTCATATCCCTTTTTTCTCTTGTAAAATTTATTTCACTGTATTGTACTCCTTGAATAACATCTTCAGACCCTAATTTTTCCGATTACTGTTTATACTTTTACTACCTCTACCACTACGGGATTGGAATTGATAATTGTATCTTTGTGTTAATGTGATATGGCAACTCGAACTGATGTACGTACGTACGAAGTTCCACGTTGTTACTGATTGACTGACTGAGAGGTACTTGAAAAGGAAATTTGGTTCGAGTTAGTTTTTGTGATCTGAGAGCATAAGCACACTACCCAAAGGACAACTGCTTGAGGTCGGTCACAAGACTTTTTTTGTGGGTACTTTTTGTGTTAACTCCGTACTTATTGAGACGTTACTGACGGATTCGGATATCCGTGGGATAAGGCGATGTGTGCATTTTTAGTGTCGATCTTTTCTAACCCCACCCTTCGTTTATGGGAAGGCAGCATCGCTGTCATGCTGGTTGTCTAAGGGAAACACTTTACTGCCGTCACAATTCTGTGCATTCAGCAGTACGACTTTAGCCCCGGACCTTGAGTTTACTGCTTTTAGTCTTACCGTTCTTCAACCGACCTATCTGACGTGGTAGGACCTTGAGGAACGATCGTTCCAGCCAGTATAGCCCGCTTGGTCTATCATGATAGGCAAGCTCGGCTACCACGTCAAGGTAGCAGCAACGGCGGGTTAAAGTGATGTGCACTTCAGAGAAACGCCGAAATGCCCTGTTAACTAAACGTTAATTAGGTTGGTTGATGAAGTAGCTTGTTAACTAAATGCAATACTTATTATTACTAGTTAGAACATAAATAATAAATAATCCGTTCAGTCAATTGGGTATATTTTAATAAGCATCCGTCAAGCAATTATATAAATTACCTCATCAACCAACCTAATCAATGTTTAGTTAACAAGAGCATTCGGTGTTTTTCTTTAGTACACATCGCTTTATGTTATTACTCAGGTACTTAGTTATTACTTCACAAGTGCAGACTGACTTCGTTATCCTAGGATGCTCAATCCTACAAACAAGCCATACATGATTTCTTATAGGTAACAAATTCTGGACGTAATTTATTTCAAATCAATATTTTTTTCCGGAAAGCAATTTAATCTTAATACCGTTCTTGTTTCTATCCATCTTATGACATCATCCTTGTCTTAATCTCATGTTTTTCAGGTAACTTCGTATAATTTATCTAGTGGCAAACGAATTCGAGGAGTGTTAGTTGTCCTTTCGTATATGGTGTTCAGCAATAAAAATGAAAACTCTAGGAAAAACTTGTCGTGTGCATATCTTATTGGTTGGTGTGTCGAATTGGTAAATATTTTAGTTTCCTCAATTGACTTTTTTGAAGTTAATTGCCCTTATATCCTGATATTAGTCAAAAACATCCGTGAAAATCACGGTCATATTGTTAATCCACGTACCAATAGAGTTATGTATTATGTACGTTTCCCCACAAGATTGAACTCAATGCTTTTAAATTCATTGGTGAGATTATTGATTTTTGGACTAGTAAGGTATATTCCAGTGACTGAGGCTCTCAACCACCGTAATGTTATCCTAGTATTATCAGCCTTTTAACTCGGATTTCGTTCTCAAGTTGGAGGTTGATTATTTTCAGGTGATCCATTTAAATTAGAATTTATTTCTATTCATATCACATATACCTTCTGGTACAGCATGCCACTAAAAAAGAGCCACACGAACTGGATTAAGAAGTTTTGACTTCTGGGGAAACGAACATGGTATTTGGCAGCCTCAGTAGCACTTATTTCTTCATAAGATAAGTCGTCGTGTCGCAGATTGATTATTTACTTAATGACAACTATCGAAATCAGACTATGGGTCATAAGTTAATAATGTAGATGATAGATGTCCGAAAGCCCTATATTTTGCTATTAAAATGGAAACGTATGCATACTAACAACCATTCTCAGAAGTTGACAAGACGCTGGTCAGTGTACCCCATTTCTAAGCAGTAGTATGTTTTACGTGAGTCTATGATCGCGTTAAAACTGACTGTTTTCTATCCACTGACTTAAAGTCTCTTGTTTTGTCTGTGCCCTAGTTACACGCAGGATTCCTTGTTTTGGATGATATAATTGACAATTCTACACTTAGACGGGGCCAACCGTGTTGGCATTGTACTCAGATAGATTTAAACCGTGGGTTAATTGGAGTTAATGATGGTTTACATCTGATTTTATACTTGATCCACTCTTTATTTGCTGAAAATCAAAGTAATGTTGATTCATATTCATGGAAGGACAAAAATAACGTATATCTCAAATTATGCAAATTGTTTGATGAAATTAGTTACAAAACGTGTTCTGGCCAATGCTTGGATGTACTATCAGCAAATCCTAATAATCAATGTATTTTGAACGGAAAACAGAATAATTTGGAGTTTGATAGTTTTGCTCGAAACTACTCATCAGATGTCTTTGAAGCTATAACACACTGGAAGACGGGTTTTTATACTTTTTATCTACCTGTAGCGTGTGGAATGATTTTGGTAAGTTAACTTAATTATTTCCGTTTCATTTATTATCTTCTCTTATTTATTAAGGATTTTAAACTGCAAAATGTACATTTTTACTTCGTACATCAATTGTTAGACTGAATAACTTTCGTAATAAAAACATTTGTGTAATATACTTTATATAAAGATCAAAGTTTTTAAGTTTTGTTTTAGTTCTAACAAAGTCATTGTTTGTAATCACCAATGTTATCTAGCCTTCATACTTATGAAAACTGAATGCATTTAAGCCAATATAATTGATTTTAAGCCATATCACTTAAA